TTTTATTGTTATTACCTATTGACTTAGTATCTCTTTTATTCGCTTTGGATCTTTGTTTATAGTCTATTAGAGCCAACGTACCATATAAAAACTTTGCTGAATACCTCTAAACTGTTTGACAGTATGCAACTTACATTTTAGAAAACTTAGTTTTTATAAGTAATTCCAGAAACCTTATGAATATATTCTTCGGAGACAGTTTATCTAAAAAAATATAAAAGATTTTCATCAAAAGTTCAAAGACATCGCTAAAATGTCAGTAAACKTTTTGCCGCCATGTTTACATGGAAGATTCACATCAGAATGGCGTCMCAGGTTTTCTTCGCTTTAATCAATCATCTWAATTAACATGGAGCTCTTAGAAACGTGCCTTACAAGGTTATTCTTCACCGACGCAACATAAAACCTTAATTACTAAACTGTCCTTGGTACAATAAATGAACAAAGGTCCTAACCAGGCCGGCTTGTTTGCTTTGGGTTTGTGTCTTGTTGTGGCAGTCGAAGAAAGCTGAGCACAGGTTATTGTTTGCTCAACGTTCCTGCTCTAACATTCATAGCAAACAGCGGCTCCAGGTGGATGTCTTGTTGACAAGGAGTTTGCTTTTGTAGTTTTAAAGGCGAGTGAACCTGCTACCGAGGTGTGAACGCAATAACTGAACTGCCCCATACTATGAATCATCTTTTGAACCACGCCGCCATGTTTGTCTTCCTCGGATTCGCTTCGAGATCAACTATARATGTGTAAAAGTACTATCAATACATAAGATGGTTTCTGTTCATTGTAAATAAAACAACCAGTATATTAAAAGTTTTATGAGCTATTTTTGGAAAGCGGTTTAAAATTCATTTASACTGACCCTTCCAATGTTTTGAATGCTCGTTTCCCCAGCTAGATAAACTTTCACTGAATGTGTAAAAGGACAAGGACTCGAATTATCTTCTGTCTATGGGGGTAAATAAAACTGACTCGTGGCATATGAAAACCTTTTTACTTGATTTTGGAAAGTTTAAAAGTCGTTGAGCCGAAAGGACCCTCCCTATATGTTTTGARCAGCATATCCGGTGCGCACATCAACAACAAACGTTAGCTATACAATAACTTTAGCGGTAAAAATTCATTTATATTCAAGGAATCCTTAAAGCGGTGAACTAAAACTTAAAAAACTTCTCAACTTAAGTTTTATTTCAGTGTTTCTCATTGTCCAATACCTGTTTTTTCGTTGTTTTTCGTAACAGATTGCCATAATTGCGTTTACAAGATGAATTGAAATAGAAACCTTCCCGCAAAGTTTGAACTGGTTGCGCAACAAGCTGAGATGCTTGGTATCTCGTATTTTTTCGCGGCCTTTAGATATCTCCTTTTAAGGGCACGCGCKCGATAGCATTCTGTGCTTTTTGACAGTCTTTTTCTAAATGATTTAAATTGACATAAATGMCAGAATGCGGCAAGAAAATATTGTAAGACCCTGTTGTCAAGACAATAAGGAGAATTGACCTATAGCCATCAGCCAATCATAGATAATTAGATGCTTTGAATAAGGCATAACATGTTTTAACAAGTCCATGTTTTTCTTTTMTTATCAATTTTCAGATGTATTTTCAGTCGTCAAACCCGGCAGACGAAATAGAACAACGTACAAACGATGGCAGATCGAGGAGCTTGAACGCGCRTTCCTCATTAATCCCTACCCTACCAGTGTCTTCAAGAAAACACTCGCCTTGAGACTGGGACTTAGAGATTCACGTGTTCAGGTATGGACCAATTAAAAATTGCACTTTTGCGAGAGCCAATGAGATTTTATTCAGAGAATTTATTGCAACTGGTTCAACAGTGGAGTACAGTCAACTCTCGCCCGGACACCCCGCTACAACGGACACCTCGATATTGCGGACAGTAAAATACTGAATCCCCGGCGAAAAATACAAAGAAATGACTGAAAGAATCTCTCGTTACTACGGACTCTCGTTACTGCRGACACTAAATTACGGTCCCGAGRGTGTCCGTAATAGCGAGAGTTGACTGTAATAAAACGTGTATGCAATRTGCTTTCGCGCATGCTTGTGGATGTTCTGAAAATTTTGTAACATTTAWTATGATCGGGTTTTTCTATTCAAGCAGCTARGAAAGATTCAGAGTCCAGAATTGTACCCTTTTTTATCCTTGCGCGCGCGGAATCAACGAACTCAACGGTCAGRATAAAAGTAACACTATTCTAAAACTMTRTTTATTTTTTTTAAGGTATGGTTTCAAAATCGTCGGGCGAAATCCAAGCGAGACCGTCAATCCTGCCCTTCGCCAGTCTACTCACCGACAACCTTTGACCACGAGAGCGACAACCACAGCACATGCGCAGATGACATTGAACAATACGATGAGGATAGCCAATCGAAATTATTGGTTGTCGAGAATAGCGAGATCGASAATAACGAGGTTGACGTTGATGAACCGAAAGAGACTGAACTTTGAGRGAATATCGTGACGTCTCAAGAGGGCCTGGAAGCTAGCTGGCCATTTTGTACCGCGGAGGCTGATCACAAGATAACAATACGCAATGCTTGTACCACGCACATGCGCACAAACAATCGCAATATGCAGACAATTAAAAAAATGTAAATAATTCGAGTGCAAAAACTGAAAAACAAACAAAGAATACATCGCTAAAACCTTGCTGAATTATTAATTTAATTGTATCAAAATAAATGCTTACTAAAATCTCTTTTGCGACTATTTTATTATTGCCTTAGTGGAACAAATAACCTCGATCGTTCCTAGTCCTTTTTTGTTTAGTGGAAGGCAACGAAGTGAAAAGGKCCTGGTAACGAAGTTGTAGAATACGGGCGGTTAGTCCATAAAACCATTCATAATCGCATATAATATCTTATTATAAAATCACACTATCAACCCATCCCCAATTCTAGCAAACCTCTCGGCCACCAACAGAAATTTCAAATAGTCCCCCTTCACGGTTACGTGCTCCATCTTGAAAGGTAGCCGTGAGCGCCTTTACATGGAAGCGAGACGACCGTTGAGCCTGCAATGATAGAAACCTGTGAAAAATTGCCTGTAGGTGTGAAAGAAGGTTCCTATCATTGCACRCACAACGGTTGTCTCGCTTCAATGGCAAGGCACGGCTACCTTTCAAGATGGCGCACGTAACCGTGAAAGGGACTATTTTTTATTTTCCGAACGTCTCGGTAGACCAGGGGGAGATAGAGAGGTTATGGTGGTTTAACAGTGCGAGGATTAGCTCAGGCTGGCGTTAATCCAGGGTAAGCTCCATGAGTTTTTTACTAACTCTGGTGAGACGATGGCGGGAACATTTTTAATGCTCGATGACGTAATTTTCTCAGGTTTAAAAATAGCAGCTTGTTGCATGTTGTTGTCTTTTTTCAAAATGAGTACTGTTCATCGAAAAATTAGGTGGAGATCACTTTTACCATTTTCGACCCATCATGCATCCCAAACAACACTTTAACAAAGTCATTTTCATATGTCATACTTTTGCAAGAATATTAATCAAAAATAAAGTTGCAAAAATACACGTACAATGTTAATAACATTTATTTTGCTATTTATCTGATGACTAGCCCCCCCTTCCCGGGAGTTTTTAAAACAACTTCATGTCGATTTCTACAGGTACGTTTTTATAACTGAAAAACTTTTCACACCATTTTCGAAGTCAAAGCGAAAAGCCGCTGCTTCATTTGACAACAGATTCTCATCTGCGCAATGATCAAAAGAAAGCACGATAAAATGTTAGTCTTGGAATTTGCATTTACTCCGAGTTGAGACTAGCCCTGTATTCCCAAAAGGTCTAAGGTTTAAGACTTTTGGGAATACACGGTTATTCTCAACACTCGCGGAAATTGAAAATTGTTAGGGCTATTGTACTTTGAACATTTTCTCATGCTCTCTTTTCTGTTTGGTAAGGTATTTGGGTATGAGAATCTGCTGTTAAATAAAACAGCGGTTATTCGCTTTGAATTCGAAAATGGATCATTGACTGTATAAATGTAGATTATAGACTTCTTTTCCTTTTGCGCCCACATAAAATTGTATGAAATCCCCTTCATTGAATTGTTTGAATGTGTCTAGTCTAATGTCATAAGAAATCAACACCCAAGARATACCATCACGTGATCTGATGAAGTGTCATTAAAGAAAAACTTAGACATAGTAATTTCCTCGACACTTGAATGAAATTTGTGAATGAGCACAATTCAATCACAATTGCGATTCACAGATCTTTTGGCTGCTACTTTGAGTTCGATCTGTACAYCATTGTTGAACTTGATTCCTTAAACCGGATGCCGTCCAGGGGGAACTCTTTTATGTACAAGAGAGAAGGTCAAGCTCTCCATTCCTTTCAGGAGTAGCAAATTCTCCATCAAGCCTGACACACCTTCTTTAGAATTATTGGCTTTTCTGTATAAAAGAGAAATTATGATAATTGAATAAGTAAATAAATAAACAAATAAATGAATGAATGAATGTCGGGAATACCTATTCTGTTGCACGATTACATTCCATTTCATTCCTTAGCTTCTTAAMAAATTACGCTTGTATAAGCCTGATGGAAGGTTAAAGCACAACCACTAAAGGCGTGCAACACTTTGCCCTATTTACTACAAAATAGTGCTAATTAGACAATAGAAAACAATAGAATTASCATAWWTTAGCAGTATTTAGTGGTATTTATGTTGCACAGTTTTAGTGTTTGTAGAGTGATCGCACTTACGTAACTTAAACCGTGCAACTGTACAAAATCTAAGTAGTACCTGAATCAAGACGGTATTGAATGCTTCATTTGTATCAATTTAATTTAATTTGCGTACCGCATGCACGGTTTACTAAATATAACTAAATAGCACTATTTAGTTTGTACAGTTGCACGGTTTAATTGCGATCACTCTACTCTACTTATTTATTACAAACTTATCTTATAAAACTCTATCAGTCCCCCCGTTTATTCGAATGAAATCTATGGGTTCCATGCACAGCAAGGCGTTTATTTTAGGAAACTAGTGACCTTTTAGCTATAACTTATATTATTGACGAGTCCCYGCCGAAGGCTACCTGACCCACTTTTCCTAATAAGCATCATTAAAACTATTGACTACTCGACCTCGAATACTAAGTCTTCACCTTTTCAAGAGCGCGCACACGCTTTGTATGCCTACACGATGTTAACACACACCATTAGACACTTAGGATGTAAAATCGAAAGACCAAAACGCCTTCAGTATGTCAAAGAAATGAAAAATGTGTTTTAGCCTTGGTTTAAGAAGATTATTTTAGCTTACTCTTTTTAGCCCGAGGGGTTTATTCACATACACACCACACACGTTCAATTACAGCATCGGGCAAGAATTCTTCACGAATGACCACACCCGTAACYTATCCCTGAATGTAAACCTAAGACTTTAATGCATGGTTGTATATTGAGTCTTTCCTAGCGTAAACTGACAAGYAGGGGACTAAAGGTCGACAGATTGCTTCAGAATACTCATCTAGCAGCGCGCGAAGCGACGAGTGATGCTCCTGGAGTCAGCATTCCATAGCATGCTAACAAGCATTGGAGATAGAATGATGAAATGAGTCCACACGCTGCGAATGGCCCTTGAGGTCAGATAGTCATCACCGCGTTTATATATTGGATTAGTGTTATAAAAAATGGCTATGAAAGCAAAGATCTTGGCCTTTAAGAATTTACAGTTATTGCTTAGTTTTCATGTGCTTTTTTGATTTTAGTCGAAGTTCCTGACTACTGAGAAACCTGTTAAAACATCAATCACCATTATCGAGCAGACTTTACTTGTCTATTTTATTCGGCCTAATTCAATACGCAGACGCCAACTTTTCTTTTAATTTGACCTCTTTTAGTTCTTCTGTTTCACGGTTTTACATGGATTAACCACGGCTTATCTATATACCTATTTTAAAGAATGTTAGCTATCAAACCTTTCAGTCGCGGTATGTTTGATAAATGACTTTGCTGCTTTTTGTGAAACACCGGGAAGCAACTTATTTCTGCGATGTTTAAATCTATTTGTTAGGTACTATGAATGGCGTGAATGAAACGTAAAATACGAATATGTTTTCTTCCTTGAAAGAAGCAAGAACGGCAACAACAACAACAACAACAACAACAATAACAGCAACAACGACAACCAACAAAATCAACAACTGATTAACAGCTGCAATTGCAATGACACTGGTTTGGTAAAGAAACTAGCCGAACAAGCGGCAATAAGGTCTTATTCACGCTGGTACGTTTAAATAGCGTGTCCCATTTGCCTAGACGCGGCGAACAACTCAAAAACGCTACGAAAACGCATCAACTTGGACGTATACGCCTACAGCACGGCAGATTCAAAAACAATAGTTTGATAAGATATGTATCGTGATTTTAATAACTGGTCTCTTTGCAACAGCAACGACAAAACAAYAAGTTTGTAAAAACAGTTTCGAATATTRAAAAAAWTTTCCTTCAACCTCGTTCTTGTCAGAGCGACATTCCTTCCAGCGACGCGGTTACCAAAAACCCACACAATTCCGCTTAATTCCCATACAAAACAACKTCRGCGTGCTGACAAATAACTTAATCATCTCAACAAGGTTTTTATCTTTGTCTAACATAGCCAACATCTGCTAACATCCTTCGTCCAAAGTGGATGGCTTATCTTTGATTACTTCGTCAGGAAATTCTATTACTGTCTTTGCCGAGATCAAATTTTAAGGGCTATAAACAATTCACTTTTCTGTTATCGAATTSTRGCTGCCTCTTGAAGGGCTAAAGGTCCCTCAGACAATGTATAAACTTTACTTTAGAAGGTTAGGAAGGGTTCAATGAGAATTGAATTATAAACAGTAACAGGGTTGGGCTTAATTGGAGGAATTTAGGAAGAGAACCTTAGCATTGTTCAGTTAAGGATGATTTTTCTTACTAAAAAGTTGAGCAATATTTTTTAACCTTGTGAGTTATTTGTTTTCCATCAGTTGGAAGAAATTTAGGATATTTTCCAGGATGACATATGTATTGCTCAGAAGTTTAATTAGACCGCAATTTTCTCAAAAATGTGACTTTTTTCTTATTTTATATCAGGTGTAGAGCACATTTTGGAGAGTTTGAGTAAGATCCGGATTATAGAAAGATTTTCGCGATAAGGCGGGAGTTTGGCTTGGAATCATTTAATTAAAATCACCGCGCGACTGGATGCTTACCTATATGAAAAGCAMYACTYTTAAAAACTGGGATAAACTTAYTGATTTAGAAAATCTCTTCAAAATTCTTGCATCAAATTATTATTTTTTAGGGATTTTACAAAGGTAAGGAARAAAATTGTACTTTTACACTTTTCATCCTGCAAAATTGTACAAAATTGKCAATTATTCCKTGCTCCAACAAGAATTTTCTTGACAGTTGACAAGTATTGCAAATTRTCGTATTTCGGGGAATTCCATGGTTTTAAYTGAAAGATTATATTAAGAAAATAACTGGATTTAAGTGGTTTGTAACGAGTTTTTCGTATATGAAATGAGACTGGTGAGAACTGGGATTTCTTTAAAGGTGTTTTACGGCTGCCTTCAGGTAGGTATRAAATTGTGAAAGATGGCTGACAAAATGAGTGGAATTTGAAGGAAGCGGAAAGGCAAAACCAAAACGCAACTCTTAAGAGTGGAAGGAAGCGTGTCTAATTGATATAGTACCAATGGTATTTACTTATCTCCTTATCTTATGCTAACAAGACAAGACACGGAATCCAATCTAAAATCAACACCTTGCCATAAACCAACTTCACTCAAACGTTGTTTTTCAAGCGCTTGAAAAAGGTTTGGACATTGCGTTTAGTTTCTGGTGTTGATATAACGCARAAAACCCAAGGTGGCAACTTTCTCTGCTTATAAATTAAATTATAATTCTTAATGCTAATAAAAATGTGTGAAAACTGTAAAACGATTATCGGTTAGAGCAGACAACCTGGCCCCAGTGGAAATCAGTGTGGTCCAAAGCAGYAGCRATGAAACACGATATTTGTGGTTCTAAATCAGGGCAATAAAATTGAATTGTGCACAATTAAGATGAAGGTGGATGAATCATCTGTCTAGTTAAGATCCTAATGAGCGGTTGATATTCTTATGAATGTAGAGCAGTTACTTTGTTATTTTAAACCACATTTTCAGCGCGCATCTCCAAGCACGTAGCTTACACCTTGCAGATTTAACWTTTTTATCCTGTCTTATAATAATCACCTTTGAGTATTTGAACATTTTAAGCAACTTTACTCTCTGTATCAATCTTAAGACTTTCCTTTTGGTCATATACGTGCTGGGGGAATACTTGTAAAAGAATGTCATGACTATTAAACGTTATATTAATCGTTCACATATTCGTAGTAAAACGGTACTGTACTTTGCACCTTGTAGACTATATTTATTTCTTTAGTATAACTATCTTTTAAGTATTCAAACATTATGCCGACATGTGTAATCTAGCAAAATAGACCTAGAAAGATAGCGTTGATCAACAYGGTTGCAARCCAATCAGCTTGCAGAATTGTGGTGCGCGGTAATCCCCATTGGGCCGAGTCACACAATGGGGCTCCTAGACAAGAATGCTCTTATCGCAACATAGGGCCATCGTCTGTAATTAGATAATTTGACAGCTCGGCTTGTCAGCTTGTTAGTAAGGGGGTAATGTAGAATATTGWAATGAATCCYGTAGTGTGCTGAGTTCTAGTCGGATTTTCTAGCCTTTGCGCGAAGCCACCGWTTTGTGCTCTACAAATCCACAGCCTTCGAATTACCAGCTGCATTGGTTCATCTTTATCTGCATTGCYGAATAAAAATATGACTAGYCATAATAGAGAGATTTTCAATGAAGCACAAGAGTTCTGGAGGAATGGACACGTTGGGTTTGCCGAGTATTCTAAGTTTGTACGTGAGAACAGCAATCCAAGGCGCAGTCAGTATATAATATCATCGTTTCCTTCAGGCAACACTCTAGAGCTCTCGGACAGTGACTCTGAAGTTGAATACTTCGAAGCTATAGGTATGAGAAACACTTTAAAATCGTCTTTATTTGAACAAGAAGTGTGATCTTTTCACTTTACGTCAATATACTCTTTGCTATTGGATTGCTCTCTGTTATTTTATTTTCTAAAACGTCTGTTAWCGTATTTTTTTAAAACTTCAACATCAGAAATTCCACTTCTTCCCAAGCGACGAAGAAGCCGAACAAACTTTGATTCATGGCAAGTTGACGAGCTGGAAAAAGTCTTTAAAACAACACAATACCCTGATGTATTCACGAGGGAGGCACTGGCTTTAAAACTAGATCTATTGGAGTCTCGAATTCAGGTACTTTGAAGTGGTATTGAAGTCTTTTGAATTGATTTGATTATGTATATGTTGGACATGTTGAGCTCCCGCAGTTTCCAAGTTGTGAAGTCAGMCTATTTGTACATGATGTACATATATTGTGTTATGTTTAATCCTTTGATTAATTGTGAGGGATTAGAAAAGTCAGACCTGACGAAAACCCATAAAGTTGATGTCATTTAGTACTCGAGTGAAGTCGTTTTATTTAGAAATTCATGACCATGCATTTGATTCAAAATCGAGCAAATGTATCGAGGTTGTGCCGGCGACAGACATGATTGACTGAACATTTCTGGTTAAAGATAATATCGAATTATCATGTATTTTCACAAGTCGTGTTTCTAAATATCTTATTCCATATTATACAGAATTTGTGGTTTCGTAATAAAGCCAATTCGGATTCAATTAATAAGCCAAACTCAAAGTGACTTTCAATTATCCACCACAGATAAAAACCATCTTTTATATAAATGTAACATTTTCCACTGATTAAAATGTTATTTCCACTTAAGATATAATTATTTTATCACTTAAAAATAACTTGTTCATTTGAAATTACTTTTTCACGAGAAGCGAGGAATAATTTGTGGCTTTGAGCGCGCTCACTTTTCATCTTCCTTCACTACGATTCATGACTTTATAACCTACATGAACACTTCGCCAAAAACGTMYAATTGTCTTTGTGTGGGCACATTATGCTAAGTCTATTTACTTTCTAAAGTCCTATAGATTTACTGAGGCATACTCAAAGGAAATTCTGAATTTCTTTGTAAATTGCGTACAAGATAATGAAATGATCCCGCGTGTTACTAGTCCAGTCGCCGCCATAGAGTTCCGCTCGCTCGGCATGCTTCCTAAACCAATTAAAAGTATTATTTCTTCAATATTTATTGAAATAATATTTATTCTATTAAGAACTATATGTTCTACTACTCGATACACCTCGGTCAAACTGTTGAGAGAATTTCTAGACGAGTGTGTTGTAATTAGGTTTTTGATTTTTAGKAAGTCAAATTTTTGATTTGGAGTTGAGGTGTGAATGGTGAGGCTAAGTATATCTCGGTGGGATGTTTCCTGTTGTAAGTCACAAATTATTCCTTTTCGCCGTCTATGTCTTTGATAATTGTTAAATATCAGGAAATAACGGCAAAATTATAATAGAAATTCAATGAAAAGGTGAAGAAATGTTACAAATTTGACACGCATTCAGGCCTTCCTCGATGAAAAATCATCTTGTCAAATCGGTAACCCAGAAAGTTAAACATTTTTGCATGTTCTAGAAAAAATGAATGTACAATATTTTATTAGTAAGATTAAAAGTATAGTATTTTTCAATGAGTTATTTGGTTATCTTTTGATCTGTTTTGATTCCAGTTTCAATTGTGATTCTCGCAGGTTTGACCTTTAACTCAGTATTCTGCATTTTGTYTATGTGTTATTATAAACTCGTGAAAGTGTCTAATAAACTTGACGAAAAGTATATACACCTTGGAAAGATGCAACTCACTCAAGTATCAGTTGTAAAACCGTTTTATGCCATACATTTCCAGTGCATCTATTTAAATACTTTGTCAAATAAAAATAGTCATTTAAAACCTTCACCACCTCTGAAAAGATTGGCTTGAAATTAGTTCATTAGCCATGTTTGAGAAAAATCCTTTGCAAAATTGATAACATAAAGTACTTCAGAAATATTTAGATTTGCAAAGAAATGTATGGTGAAGCTGTCACCTCTGAACCTCAACATGTTCATTTCTTTGTGAAAATTTCAGATAAAATTAGAATTATCTTCTCGAATTTTCAATGGATTGTTCTTAAACTGGATAAATTTTCTAGTTGCTGTTTTCAATAGTGGCATAGTTTTTCACTAAGATCCCTAGATTGACCGTTAAATTTCCTTTTGAGGAGATTCAGTGGCCTTTTCGGTCTTTACCCGTACAATACAATTTACAGCGCCAGATGCACACATGTTGAAGTCAATAAAATTCATGTTTTTTTTTCTTTCTTATTGCAAAYCTCATTTATATTGAATTCGTTTCATGTGAGATTCAGTATTTGAAAAGGTGCCCAAAGGTCTATACCAGTGTTATGTTCCGTCGACATTTTCRCCTGAAAGTGCCTGATAAATTTGCAAATTCTATCTCTTCGACATTGAATTTCTCAAAACCATGAGCTAAAAATCTTACAAGCTGGAAGAATTTTGTTCTAAGTTAATAGGTTTATTGCCTCACTTCTTAGCGATAAAGTTTGAGCTGAAAACTTGCAAGCTTGACTTTCCGTCTTTCGAGTTTACGCAGTGCCACAGGTTTATTCAGTGCCTCGAGTCCAAGATARCTCCTCTTCGTTTTGTTTGTTTGCTGAAGTAGTATAGGATACATTAGGAAATTCTTAAGAAGTTTTGACGAAGTAATTGACCGCAAAAATGAGCAGTGCTTACCAAACACAAAATGGTGACAACTTCGCACACAAAATCACACAAAAGTGACATTGTGCAAATCAATTTCTTCTTAGAATCAATAATTTCTTTTATTACATTGATATGATCGGTATATTTTCTGTGGTTCGTCTATAAATGCAAAATAAATTGTATTTTATCGAACCTCAGACTGTCTACTGAAAAGCAAAGTAACCAAGCAATCACGTGACCAGTGGATATTTTTAGATCTCAAGTTCTGCCAAATCTTACACCGCGAACCGTTCATCAACTTTCACCCTTAGCAATAACACAGCGATATTCTTGACCGTTCGCGACTTAAGCGTGTAAACTACACCGGGACCTTTCAACTAACATTTCAAAATGATAAATTGCGTCTCTAAAATTCACATTTAAACGCCCTCCATTGATTTGCGATGAAAACTAGCATTCAATTTATCAAATGTAATGGACTGTTTTAGAATCGTTGATCAAATTGCGCATCGATTTTCCGGTTTGCTTTCGAGGTCTGGAAATCCTAAATGTTGTTATTGTCCTACATTATACACCAAAATGGCTTTGAAATTATTTCTATTAATAAAAATTGAGTTTTATTTTTATGTAAGCCCTTAAACGTGCTTGCGAAGGCACATCTTGTCACAATTTGTACAAATATGTTGAGCCATGTTGGTCTAGTAGGTCGTCTAGGTGCCCAGGGTCCTTAAACACGCCAAGATCAGTTCATAGAGTCAAAAATATAATTACAGGACAAGCGCTAGTTCATTGACTTTTTAAATGTGTTGGTCTCACACATGTTTTTGAAGCTCAGAGGGAGTTTTGGGCCGAGTTTTAGGCGAAAGTCTGAATTTCGCATTTGAATTTGTTTGGCTGTCGTCCGTCAACGAGGTTTAGAGAAGATTTTGAACAAAGCAGTTTGTTCCAAACATTTTCACCTTTTTCTACATCTTTCCTTGTTAAAACTTGTGTCTAAAGTGTCTATAAAGATAAGAAATCTTCTATTTTCTTAAATATTCTTTTCGCAGCTCTTTTTGATGGTATAACGGCTTAGATAAAAACTCTAAAGAAATCGACACCCGAAATTTCCTTAGTGTCGAAAACCGCATTGCAGGAGAATTAAACAAAATCGAGTCTTTTCAACGAAAAAAACACCAAAAAAGGTAACCCCGCACATAGGGAACTTCAGTTGAAAGTGCTCAATCAAAAAATGAAAGGATTTTTGTGGGAAAAAGGGTTAGATAGCGAACATGGGCTTACCTTGCTACGTGTCTTGAGCTTCTAACGTGAGACAAGAGAGAAGAGTATAATTTATCTGTAAAGCTTGTTTGATAAATGGGCTGTCTTCTTTGGCGTGCCTCGCATTTCTTCCAATCGTCCGCCGCGCCTTCTCGATTTCCCTTGCTGAAAATGAACAAACCTGATGAACTCTGGGAAAATGTCCTCTGATTACGCATGCTTAAAGAATTTTGGAGCACGAATGCGAAGCTAAAGTGCGGTATTGCTGCCAATAAGAGTCGATATCTGAAATATTGAATATAGTGCCAGAGTTTAAGTCATCAGGCTATGATATCAAAGTAATTAGCCTGCAATTCATATACGTATAGGCCATTGTCGAATTCAAAGCGAAAAGCCGCTGATTCTCTTGCCCAAATGAAGACCTTACCAAACACACCTAAAGCACGTTAAAATGTCTTTATTATCTTAGTATAGCAATAGCCTTGAAAATTTGCATTTTCTCCAAATTGAGACTAACCCTGTATTCCCACTAGGCCTAATTAGGCCACTTGAGAAGCCATACACGGTCGCCTAGCCTCATCTCTGAGAAAATGCAAATTATAAGTGGTATTGTAGTATTTTGTCGTGCTTGCCTTTGTGTTTGGTGAGGTCTTGCGCAAGAGAATCTGMTGTTATTCGCATTGAATTCGATAATGGAGTATAGGGCGAAAACACTGAAACCATAAAAAAAACACTAACCCAAGAGAGCTCATGCAATACTGCAAAATGTTGTTGAGTCTTTAGTAATAGACTTGGTAGGGGTGAGACGGGATCAACATGTCCAATACCTCCAAAGTTGCAACAAAACAATCACACTTTGACGTTCCAAGACGCACATGTGACCTCATAGTTATATATTGTTATCAACGAAAAAAACCTTGGACAAGCCAAAAACAAAACAAAAAAACAACAACAACAACAACAAAAAACGAGTTCTCGACGGATAAAAAAATCTCCAATTATTCACACACGGCATCAACGGTCTGCATTCTTTTCTTTAGAATATTTTGGCTTTGAAAGGGGGGTAATGGGCACCTCGTGACCTCTTGTAAATTCCCCCTTTGTCAGCGTCGGCTTGTGTTTCTGCTGACCAGTAGCCATCGTGTTTCTTATGCATCAATATATCTAATGCGAACATTTCTTTTTTCAAGGTTTGGTTTCAAAACCGTCGAGCCAGGAAAAGAAGGGAAGAAAAAACAAAATCAGCGCCTGGGAGAAGAAAGAAGACCGAAACAGAAAAATATAACCGCAACTATCTGGTGTCACAACTAAATCGCTCTGCTAAGAAGGCTCAAAACAAAACCACAAAAAATATCGATGCTGCAAAGCGCCAGTCATCGCAATCACACTCCAAATCCTTCTCAATCGAAAGTATTTTGTCGCGAAAGGATCCGCCAAAGGAGCGACTGTCCACTGTTGCAATTCTTTCAAACTTGGTAGATGAGATTCCAGTTGGCAATGAAGAGTTAAGTGACAACGAAGACACTCTTCCTGGAACATCGCCTGGCAACTTGATAACCTCGCCCAGTAACCCAACTACTTCACCTAGCAACACACCCGCGTCTCCTAGTAACTTTAGAACGTCTCTTAGTAACTTGAGCATGTCTTCCAGTAACTCAAGTACGTCTTCTAGCTACTCATGCACCTCGCCTAGTAACTCAAGTTCATCGTTAAGTAGCTCAAGTGTGTTACCTAGCAACTTAAATGTTTCCGTATCTACCGCCTTAATTTTGTCGCCTAGCAACTCAAGAATTTCATCTGGTAGTTCTGACACATCGTGTCCTAGCAATGAGCCCATATCACCTAGCAACTCAAGTACGTCACCTAGCAACTCTAGCATGTCGCCTAACAACTTTAGCAAGTCGCCTAGCAACTCAAACACGTCACTTAGCAACTCTAGCATKTCGCCTAACAACTTTAGCAAGTCGCCTAGCAACTCAAACACGTCACTTAGCAACTCAAGCACACCTAGCTGCAGCAAAATACCGTCTTCTGATAGCTCATATAGCGAGAATATTAATGATATATCCCATGTACTGCGCATGAGCACAACCTCTGACATGGAGGCTCAAAGACAAAGTGAAGACCAAAAAGAAGGAGAAAATAAAGAAGAAAGAAATTTTCGTAGTGTTGTTATTCCTAGCTTTCCACAGAGGAGATTAGTCCTTAATGAGAGAGAAAATCATTCAGTCATTAGGAGAAATCCATCATATTCGACATCGACGCCTCGCAACGATGATTTAATTGTATGCGTGGCGCCATTTGGGACGGTAATGCGACAATATTTTCATGGTGAAGACGCCTCGTCCCATCTCGACAGACACTCCACACATCTACGTGTAATCACGAGGAATCCAAGAAATGAGCCCGCAAGCTTAGCCAACACTTTACGCAATTCCAGTCACGGAGCATGCACAGATGACGACTTTGAAAATTTTCGAACGACTAGTATTCTGACGTTGAGGAATCGTGCCGAGAAACACGTTCAAAGACTGAATGTCTGTTAATGTTGCATTCATTATTATTCAATATTACTTATATTGTTCGTGTTTGTATATATAAATCCTTTTAACATGCGGGATTCCTGTGGTGAATATCTGGCATGGTATTAATAGCGGGCTTCCTGTGGTTGAGTACTGACGCGCGAAGAGTACGAGTCGTGATAGTCTAGTACTACTATTTACGTTACCAGTTCTTTTCACGCGTAGCACAGAGACCTCAACAGSGTTACATCAGCGTCGYACAACAGATTATGAAAAAGCACAATATGCCAACAGACTCTTGCGCGAAGACCTCACCAGTCTTACCAAAAACACAAATGAATGCAAGAAAAATTGAAATCTGGGAAGTTTAAGTGGTTACTTTATGAGAGAATTTTTTGCGGCTTCTTTTGTACAATCGTCCAAATTTCCCCTTCTCTTGCACAAGAGTGAATGTAGGGGGTGCTACATGGGTTATACAATGTTTCCCAATTGCAACAGTAAAAGATTTGAAATTTCCTCTTTAAATAAATTGTATGATACTCCAATGATTTCTTAGCCTGTATAGTGACCGTCTATCCTCGCCCAAAGGAATCCCAAGAGCCTGTCTGCTACGCAAAAAAAAAAAAACAAACAACAAAACAAAACAATCCCTAGATGTCGCCTTTCACAATCAAAAAGGCCGGTGTGTCGAAAAAAAAACATTTCTTTTCTGTCGACTGTAGAACTACATAAAGATATTTTTACTTCATGGATATTGATACATTCTTGATGTCATCTAGTAAAATATTCGCCTTTTTCCAAAAACAAAAAGCAAAAAAGGATTTTWTTGTATTAATACTCTCTGTGGAGCCGTGGGGACAAAAGTGCTGCGTGACAATACAAACGTACGCCTGCAAAGGAGGCAACGGTCATATTTCGTTTTCTCTAGACACAAGTTAATTTAGAGTCGAGAGCCAACTGATAGAGCAGGTAAAAAAATAACATAAAAGAGCCGTTTTTGACCGTTACTATGACAGCAATGTATCTTTCGTATTCCGTGATGTGCCGCACATACTAGCTATTAATACAATACAACAATATTGAAGTCCTAAACATGTGCTTTTAATTGATTTGTCTTTGGTAACTATTTACAGTGGAAAGATGAATCGGAAGTTAAGCTTTGAATGTATACAAAAGACTGTGTGCTTAAAGACTTAYCAAACTGGCTTGYGGTRTAAGCAAAAGCTTGCCCTGTATCTCTTTTTGCTTTTCATTATTCGCGAAGATAAAAATTGTAMAAGCAAAAGCAAAATTTCGAAAAAAGGAMGAGAAAAAAGAGAAAAGATGAGAAGACCTCTGCAGCCATCATAACAAAAGTCACACTCTCTAGAAGGAGTGGAGCCGGTTAGGAGACATAATAAAATTTTGAAGCGTATCTTTGAAATTTGAAGAAGACATAAACTTTGTGTTGAGAGGTATAAAAAAGCAGTGTTATGAGAAATCGAATTCACAAAAAAATGACAGAACTTCGAGAACGTTGTAAATAACTGATGATAATTTTTTGTAGAAAGCACGAAGTATCGAAAATGAATAAACCGTCTTCATCCGCTTGGTGAACACCCTTGAAACTTGTTAAAGTTCTCAGTCTCTGCTTTATTTTTTTAAGTAGCTAATTGTAGTTCACGACCTTGCAGTAAACAATCTYTTGGCGCAAGCCATCCTTCCTGCCTCGATTTACTCTTCCTATTTGCAGGTCACGTGTGTACGTTATAAGCTGTTCCTTGTTTTATCACATAAACTTGTGTTCCTWTATCTTTTCATTGCATTTTTAATGTCTTTATTCAATATATAACGTTCCTGATTGATTTGGATGTGTTTAGTAAAACAAAAACAAAAAACGTTCCAGTTACTGGAAAGCTCTAAAGTTCGTGGGGTAGAGCAAATAACCCGGCACTTCAGGTGGTAATGGACAAGTCATACCCCACCTCAGCTAGTCAACGAGACAAAGTGTGGCAAGTGACACTAACTGGTGTTTAGTTTATTAGGTTATTTACACTTTTTACTGCAAAACATGACATAATAGAGAAGGATTGGTGGATGGGAAGAAAGGAAATCAAGAAAGGAAGGAAGGATGGATAATAAAAATCGGGCATCACAAACAAAATTAGTGTAATGWCAAGGGAACTCTCTCAATAAGTTACCTTGATCTCCATGAGCGCTGTACGTACACCAATTTACATGAGGTTTGTCAGAGAGAAAGACCTTCAATGAAGCGAAAATGGTATAAAAGTTTTCAGAACTTGGCGTTTGATAGTCAATTCTTGCTATGAATTATATAAAGACGGAGATTTTGAGGAACTAGTGTGCAAAACGGAATGATTTCGTAATTGAAAACAACAACAAAAGAAAACAAAAAATAATAGATAAACAAAAAAGCAGAAAAAGTCTATTATTAACATAGCCTGTGTTACATCCGGGTTTATTTGCCAAAAGAACCGTCTTGGCTTGGCGAAATAAACCGCATGTAACGCAGGCTATTTAACATTAATGTTGATAATAAGCTTAATATTTCTATATTATTAATAATATTTTTAATATTTCTTATGTTATTAAATCCCAAAATTGATTTATGAGTGACATCTAATAGTCGATTTACAGTGCCTTGGCCGAAACGGCAAACCAAAACGGCAAACTTTACTCGTATAACAGAGCTCTGCTCGAGTAATATTACTTTCAAATTACTGTTGAACAAACTACAAAATGAAGGAGCGATAAATTAGCGATACACATTTAAAGCAAACGTTTTTATTTTTTAAAATTCAGGAAAATTCCAAAATCAATACTAACGTGTCATATTTATGCCAGSCTGACGACACGTTCTGAAAAGCAGAGCGACAAAAAAAAAAATAAATAAATAAAAAAAAATAATAATAAAAAAAATAAAATAAAATAAAAATAAACAACCAGGTTAAAATTAAAGCACTTAAAAAATATCAATAAAATTACTATTGATATTACATGAAGTTTTTGTTTTGCTTTACGATGGATAATAAAGAAGATTTTTCCATGATTTTGAAATTACTCAACGTTTTGGCGCCAAAATGCGTAGATTGCTAAAATACTTCGCGCGCGAGCACACGTCGAATTATATTTGTAACATTAAAATGTTTCTTGTTTTAACACTATATTGAAGTTTTTCTTCCACAGTTAACGTGTAAAATAGGTTTAAGAGAGGGTAAAATGGAGAACATTAATTTGCGATCAACCAATAACTAGTCCTGAGCGGTTCACTGCCGCGGAAACCATGACAAACTAGGATACGAAGCAGTCATACAAAAATGTGCTTGAAATTTGGTGCTAATGTGCCATGAATTCAGCTGGTTCAACTACAATYACTTGGAATAACTAGTTTCAGACCACTTTAGAGACTTTAAGAGTGAATGAATTCATAAAAACATCCAACTGCAAAGAGTRAAAAGCTTATTAAATCAACAGTTTTTATGATTTGTATTTACTCAGATGTAAATCTATGTCTTTCTCATTAAACAGAAAAACCTGGTTAATGGCTTCAGTGTTTGGCTTTCTGACTACGAATACATCGAGTTGATACACTACACTTTASTTACTTAGACTAAGCAATTTAGACGCTAAAGATTATTTGAAATTCGTTTTAAAAAGGGAAGATTTATTTGTTGTCAGACTTGCCATTTGAAATACTAAGCCGGGTCTTTTCAGCTTTACCTCGATTCATTACAAYTTTGTATAATAAAAGTATGAACTTAGGAATAACTAACACGGACATAAACAGAATTTGATTACATTCTTATTGATATATTTTGAAATCTTTGTGAATCACGTTTTGAGAAAAGATGTCACCAAAATTTACAATGAATTGTATAGTGAGCCCGAGAAGTGCCAACCTCAGTATAATTTTAAGGCCATTTTTTCCCGTGAAATGGCCTAATGCGGAACTGAACATCGATCCGTAAACTGTTCTGTTATAACCTGACTACAAAAGAAAAAAATTMTATATAAGTTTAAGGGTTGAACATTTTCAGAGTTATATAACATCGTCATATTTTCATTTTGATGTTCTTGGAAAGCGCGCGTTCTGATTCGCGTAAAACGCCCGATATTCTCCCACAGAATCGATTTGAACTTAACAAAAAAGAGACGAAAATAACACGAGGAAAGGGGGAGGAAATTGGGAACAACCTATTTAATATATTAATCCTTGAAGTAGGCACTTATAAGTAATAATAACATAAAATGTATTAAACTGTTTGAAATGGACTTCCGATAAAATAAATAATTATCATTGGGCAAAAATATACATGAGGAAAAATAAGATAAAAAGATAAAAATAAAAGAATTACGTGATTCCCCTGACTGAACATCTAATTTTCATTTGAATTGGTAAAACCTACAAAGCGATACCTCCTTAAACTTTGTTTAAACACGAAAGAAGAACCAAAAAGCTGAACATACTACTATATATCACAAATGAGGCTATTGACGACACTAAAAAGGTTTCTCTGTCAATCAAACTTGATGATGTAATTCACCCTGATCAAAGCTAGTGCGATACACTTTAAAACTCCACTTKAAATTCGTATAAAATCTTACAAATTCTCTTGAGTAAGATTACTCGAAAAAGTATTTTGTATCCAGGAAAGTAAAGCTGTGGTTTCCATTTAATTCCCGTCTCGATTAATTAAGAAAATACATGAGCCAAAGTTTAATCAATTAAACATTATTTGCTAACTATTATATTGGTCGTGTTTGCTTAATTGTTTCAAAGTTGCAGGAGAGTATTTATCGACATTATAAGGCGGTGCTTTGACCTGAGCCTCCCGCGAAAAGCTTTTAACTTTTCAAATATACYAGCATTTCATACCTTGCACTGTTTATTTTAAGTCCAATATGCGGGCTTATCTAATATTAATTAATTTGAATCGCGGAGATCAGGACTATTTTAATTATTTATGTAAAAGAAAATTGATCTATGAACAAGCGATGAAAGAAGCAGTTTTTTTTGGCATCGAATAACRTTCGACTTGTTATGTACGACTCAAATCGCGTCGTTTTAATACCCTACGATTTACCTATAAAGCAGTTGTTCGCAACCTACGATTTGTAGTACGATTTTGAACCACGGCTCAAGTTGCATGCGACAATCGTACCGAATTCATCCGTCCTTATATAACAATGGTTTGAAGTTCTGAGAAAAATGAGCTAAAAAACGAAATTAAAACGACGCAGAAAAAAAAACCGCTAAAGTCATGTGCCTATTTTTCAAGGACGAAGTTGAGAATATAAAAATGCGACTTAGACGATTAAGGTAATTATACGGAAAATATCTTCTTTACGCCCTTAACATTTTGAAGAGATGTTGGTCAATTCAGAATGTGTTACGTTCCCACTAAAACCARGCCACRTAATGACATAGAAACGATGTAAATTGGTATRTTGTTTTCACTTTAATCTATACCGTCTGAAGTACCAGGCAGAACTGAGCTCAAAAACACTCAAATATCTCGCCGTTTAAAGTTTGATTGCTTACAAAGCGTTTACGTGTCGACCGATTGATTCACACGGTCAGAGAGAACTGGTACCAGTTCAAGCAAACATCTTTCTTCGGCTTTTATTTTTCGGCTTAAACAGACAGTCCATGGGAATCGATACATTTTAACTTTCTCACATAATTGGAAATGAAGTTAGTCTTGTAACCTGTTGTGTATCGTTGCTTGGAAAACAACCCAGGRTTGTTTATACTGAAAAGGTTTTTGAGCCACGCCTCCGTAACAGAAAAACGATAAAAATGTCACTTTTTAAATCAAAATTGCTAAAATGTCAGCTAAAAATTATATTTATATAAAGTGAACCGAACCAGTCATGAGAAAAAATTGCAAAATTAAAACACATATAGTCCCAGTCCAGCCCTATAGCTATGATAGACCAGTTGTACTTAAATGTGCGTTTTACACGTAGCCGGATATTTTCCAAACCGCATCGATATTTTTCTATGTGTTTAGTCCAATCGTTTACACAAAACCACCGCCAATGATCAACGACATTTTTGAAAACGCTTTTAAAAGAGGATATAGATCTTAGAAAAAGAAACGATGATTGTTTTTGTGTAGATATGCGGTTTAAAAAATATCCGGGTACGTGTGAACGCATCCGAGTTATCTGCGGACATCACCCCGTATCAAGTCTAACTTTTGTCAAAGAGTGGCCAAAGCCCTGAACATTAATTGTAATTTTCGCGGAATATTTTTTGTCAAAACTTTCATTTAATGAAGTTAATTCGACATCAMATGCTTTACGACTTGCAAATTTGAGCAGCCAAAAACTTTGTTTTGAGTTTTAATACTACAAATTTTCGCCGTCGRAAACTCAGTGACTATTGAGGGCGATTAATTGTTTTTGCAAGCTCTATTTAGACCACCAAAGACAATTATTATTATAAAATCAATTTTATTTGAGTTCAAAGGTGATGTTCAACGAATTTCTACCAATAATGGGAAGTTATTGTAAAACGTTGAAATTAATGAGTGCTTTCAAAGAAACATGGACAATTTATTCACAATGTTCCAATTAAGCCAAGCATTTTTATCATGTAAAACTAATATCTCCTCCCTAAACTAAATAAACCTGCCTTCAGCTTTTACTGTACTTGGAATGTTATCCTTAATTTTCGTAGTAAAAGTTTCGGATTAGTTTRGTCTGCGCAGTGCATGGGATTTAGCTATCCTTGAGCACAAAGCGCGGGACTTTTCGAACCTSTTTTTTATAAGTTAATTTTGTATTTAATAAAGTTAATTAATTGTAATTTTACACTATGAAACCCGACCAGAGATATTTTATTTACTCTTTCGTAAAATAGAAAATTTCATGCGGAGCACCAAAACAAAGCCGAAAAACTAGATCTTCCTTGTGATGACCCATATTCGTTTTTGATACCTCTCTCGCTTGAATAAAATGACAGATGTTACAAAAAATATGAAAAAAAAAACCGAAATAGTAACACAATACCAAAAGTCGAGGATAATACTGTTACGAGGTGGAAGCGTAGTGAGATTAAGGTGCACAACTAGGCGAAACCAAGTTTTCTTTATCGCGAAATGTTGATCTATTTGTAACTACACGGTTTTTGAAGACTGAACCAGTTCTGTAGCTGAGCTGATAATTACTGGGTATCGGCTTTACTTCGACAAACAACGCTAATCCCAAAGCATAGGAAACAACGCCAGTTCACTGAGAACAGAGGAGTCTTCACATGTGTTAGATCTACGATACCTGCCCACAAGAAACAATTGCAAAGCAAACAAACTAAGTGTAACAGAAGAGAAAAATACGACAAGAAAAAAAACTAACCTTACAAAGAAAAAACAACGTGAACTCTTTGAACAAAACCAGACAGCATTGATTAAACTTATCAATATTAATCAAAACATGCAAGAACGACGATTTTTTACCAGTTTGGAAAGGATAATTTTGAGTTGCTATGGGAATAAAGAATAAACAGCCATGATATTTCGATATCGATGTCTTGATTTGACCATTTACGCTGGTCTTAATGATAACTTCTTTTTGAAAAACAATTCAGAAAGCATTTCATCATCAGCAGATCATTTTTCATTCTCTTTTTAGAATTATAATTTGAATCTGTGGTCTTTTGTGGTCTCATGTCAAAATGTAATGTTTCTGTGCAATGCTGCATTCAAAGTTCAAAGCACAAAGGAAGCCACCACAAAACTGCTTTTGACTTACGTACTAGCTTAAGCAAATATTCTCTAGCTTAACCATGAAATAATCACAATAATGGTCCGTGACAATTTCAAGGTAGAGATTTTCCTTTGACGACAAGACAAAAGAGATCAAACATGATTGCCAAGAAGGCTTCTTGGACCTTGGCTAGCCGGCAAACCGGTACACCTCTTCTTTCTGAAAACATTTCAATATTAATTAACTCGAGCTACCAAAGCTAAAATTAATTTGCAAACAAAAGCGCTCAAAGTGTGAAGTTCAGAACTTAAAAATCGATTAAAAACGAGTTAAACGTATCAATAAATCAAATTTTGAAAGAAWATAACCCATGCCTTCGTTAATAACTGTGTTTTCTCGATGTTTCTAMTTCATGGCTTTTCTCACTCGCATCACAAAAGGCCATTACTATTCGGCGAGTAAATTCAAGATATATTCAGCTGTAAAAAGAAAAAAATWAATGTCAGGATTATCACCCAGTAAAGCTACTTCCACTAATGGACCATTTAACATTTATTTAGCTATCCATTTGAAMTTTTAGGTATTGATATTGGTGATAATACACTTGGAGATGTTTCCCTCCCTGCAAGACTTGAACGTGCCCGACGAACGTCAATAGAGACCTTAATGTCCAAATTATTTGCCCAATAACCAAAGATTTCTTTCAATAAATAAAAAGAAATACAGTTTAACGTTCTTTTAATACAAAAAAAAAGAAAAAAATAATAATTTGAACAATGCAAACTCGGGCAATTGCGTGCATTTCTCCTGAAAATTATTTACTTTTGAGTTAAGTTTGAATGCATTTTTGGAGTTTCGTGGCAAATTATATTTTTGTGTTCAAACATCAGAAAAAATACTCAATAATTATATATATTTTAATTCATACATTTTAAGAATACGAGTAATATAGGGAAAAAAAAATAATTTGAAATTTGAAATATATCTTGCTATTTTATGCAACGATGCCATCAAAAGTGTCCCTGAGATCTTGTAATGAGCGAAATTATATTTGTAATCCAATACCATCATGCACAATCTCCTCGTCACTTTWACCATCAAATCGTTTTCTTATAACTGGTAAGAGGTATTGACAAGAATTTTTCTCAGTCTTCAACTCAAAGGAATTTAGCTTATGKATGATCTATTTTATAAAATGCCGAGCTAAAGTTTTTGGGTTGAACATATTATCACCCCTTAATTTATACCCTCTTATTAGATGATAAAATGCCGATTAGTATGTCTTTCGAGGCATCTTATTAGAACACCGAATATTCAGCTGTGTTGKCCACGAGCAGGTGAGAGCAAAATGCTGTCGGATTCCCAAATATAGAAACTAAATCTGTTTGGAAACTAATCAGCGAGAAATTCAACTTTATAACAAAATCCTGCTAGCGCCCATGGAGTAAAATCAAGGCGGACAATCAACGTCGTATCTAATTAGAATTCCTTACGGCTGGGAAAATTCGTATTATCAGACAAATGTTGGAGTCTGACAGGAAGATTGGATGTGTCAATTGATTACAAGTGAACAGTTTCTGTGCGTGGAGATTTCTGTAAAATGTGTCAATCACAGTTGGGCCTGGTCTAGTCCAATCAAATATCGACTTCACAAAATCGCGACGATCTTTAGAAAACTATTGTTGTTTGATTGATAGGGCAGCTATTAAGTATTAGAAAAATAATGCAAGCATGAAATACACTTTAAAGTGTATTGTTAAAGCCATTAGAGGTGTGAGGGGCCACCCCTTAAATAGTCCCATCTTAAGTCGCTTCCAAAATCACCCAGGACACCACCAAACGCRGCACATTGCTTCGCTCACTCAATACCAATATTATCGTGAAAAACAACCGGAATTTCTTWAAAAATGGATAGCAACGTTCCAAGTATCACTCCATTTTACAAATCGTCGCTTTTTTCCGTGGTTTCGCCAAGAGGACAAAGCATTTCTCCCTCGGCAAGACTTGGTCCTTACGAAACTTGTTGCTTGCCGAATTTCATCCCTTTCCCTTCGTATTCGAGGCGTTATGAGATTCCTCTAATCTACCACCACACAGCTCATCATGGACCATACCACGAGTCGGCAGTTCCGTCCTTCTCTGCTTTTCAAGGTAGGCTTTAACCCGAAATGCTTTGCTTATAGACGGTTACAATATCTTAATTGTAATCTTAAAGATAAGATTTTGGACAGATTAAAAGTATCGGTGTTAGAAATCACGTCAAGAAGTAAATAATTGTATCTTTATTGAATACCAAAGACGATTGCATAAACTTCAAGTGAACATTTTGATAAGTGAACGTTTTGATAAGACTTTTTTCCGTCATTAGATTTTCAATTTTCGAGTGCGCACAGTGAAACTTTTTTGCTTTGTTTTTTTTTTTGTTTCAAAATGATGGACATTATTTTGTAGATATATAAAAATCTGAAATAACGGGGAAAGTCTTTTGAAGTTACATAGGTGATAGATAACTTCAATATCAAGACTACCACAACTTGAGATGTCATTACTGCTTGAAAAGCTAACATTCGATAAAACGATCTTTAAGCACTTGAATTCATGCTTTAACGAAAAACAGAAAACGCAAATGTCAAAGAAAAAAGGAAATAGAACTTGTTCTTTTGTTAGAAAACCTTCTTCAATAAATCATGTTTTTATTGATGAAAGTCAAATACACCTTCTGTTAAAATTCTTGTCTTTCGACRAAAGACAACTTTTGACATAATGTTAACAGCGAAATATTGACTTTTTCTCTTTGTAGGACAAAGGTTTTTTGATCATCTAAGACCAAGAAAACCCCGTCGAATGAGAGTACGAACCAATTTTAGCCCTTGGCAGCTTGAAGAAYTGGAAAGAGCCTTTGAAACAACGCACTACCCTGATGTATTTATGAGGGAGGCACTGGCTTTGAGACTCGATTTGACAGAGGCTCGTGTTCAGGTTAGTAAAAGAACTTTAGCTAAATAAAAACAATAAATATCRTCTAATTAAAGCTCGAAAATTAAAAAAAGGATCCAAACGGCTATTACATTGACTGCAAAATATAATTAGACGTTTTAATATCGAAGCGGAAACTGTGTTGAAATGATGGTGCGACCAACCGGCGGGTTTTTTCCCGAAGGAAAATTGAACACAAGGGTTCAATTAAATCATAAAATGCTATATTAGATCTCTTGTAAATGGAGGAAGTACGACCAAGACAAGAGGCTTAAGAGGAACTCTGTGTTTTCATTCATTTAGTATCAACTTGTAATTTTTGTTTAAGTAAACGATTAATGCTTAATTTGAAGTTAATGGGGGTTGAGATAAAAATTCACAGTTGAAGTCGGAACATTTCTTACTCACAAAATGGGCTTTAAAAACGCATTTTGTAAACCAAATTATTAAAACCTCATAAAACCGATGAAAAAAGAAATATTAAAGCAAGCTTATCATTATTTATTTATTTATCTATTTCATTCAGGTTTGGTTCCAAAACAGACGAGCAAAATGGCGAAAGAAAGAGAAGTCAAGAGATGAGTGCAAAAACACAGAACTCAATACCGAAGACCTGGAACAGAACGAAACTTCAGAAAACACTGAATTTGATTGCTCTGCTGAAAGCGTTGACCTTGTCAGTCACTGCGAACCAAGCACAGGAGAAGTGAACGAGCCGAAAGAGTCGAGTAGTTCACCGAAARTCAAAGAAGAGCAGAGCGAAGAAGCAAATTCGATCAATTTCACCAGTCGCTACGAAAATGCTTTGAGCGATTTTAACCAATTTTTTGATAACAGAAGGTCGTCTAGCATCGCTGTGCTGAGACAAAAGGCTAAAGAGCACGAGGAATGCCTTTTAATAGCCAAAACTGTCTAAGAGAACGGCAAAATATGATAAAAAACTCTGTAAAATGGCTGAAAACGGCTACTTCTGTTCGAGATTGAAAATGTCACAATTTACTTCATGTTTTCAGCGCCGGTGCTTCTGCACTCAAAAATGTCACTTGATCTAACTGACAATAAAAATAATTCAAGTGTGTGATAAAACACTAGATATTAACTTCAAATTTCAAACTCTAACTTGGTTTTCAATAACATTTTGAAGTTTGTGTCCAACTTTGTTAGCAGTCGCACGTCAATTTATTTGTAGCTGTAAATAGAAACGATAAAGTCAATAAAAACTGAATTCAAAAACTAAAAATGTTTTTGTAAGTAAATGTTCATGGTTTTTCTTCTTAGAGTAAATACCMATTTCAAGTTTTGTATTTTTAATTTACAGTAATTAGGTAATCGAATAGACAGATTAGCAAATTCAGGTCAAATRTTACCTAGCTTAGCTCAAAGCGTTTGAATCTCAGCAACTTGTTTTTTTTAAATGCCATTTTGAATAAAACTTATTTATGAAGAATTTCAAACGCGCGCGGTGTGAACTAAAAATAAACTCGAATCGTTCAGAAAATACGCCAAAGAGATGAGTTTACAAATATTATAATTAAAGTCAAAAACAAAAATTACTATAAGTGAAGATTTCTCTAAGAAATGTCGGAAAATAATCAAGATGGCTGTATCGTTGGCTGTAATTTATCAAATGTTTCAAGTGCGTTTATTTCAAGTAGCGAGTTCAAGTCTTTAACGATTTAACTAATTCGAAACAGACGATACAAAATGGCACGCGTAGAACAATTACCAACAAAAGAGCTCAAATGTTTTTTAAATGAAATGGTATTCACTGCTATTCAATTTATTAAACAGCCGGTTATCCGCAGAAGTCAAAACAAAGGAATATTTCTAGCAAGAGTGTGGGAAAGTGAGGCCGACGAAATAATGCTTGCACACATGACACTAGCGCATGCAAAATAAATCCACAAATCGCCCTAAAACGCGCTCGAAGTGTTAAGAAGGACAGTTTACTACTCGGAAGTCAAATTTTAGAAAGAAAGAGAGACTAGAAAAGTTTAAGAAGCACACATGTCGAGTTCTCATCGAATTCTGCCACAACTTGAGAAATTTTCAATAAATTGAATTATCTCGCAAACGTAAATTGATTAGAAAGCTTGAATTCTTTTGTTATTTTGGAAAATTACAGCAAATGCCCGTAAAAAGGCTCACATTATGCAGGGACTCATTCGATACGGCTATAAACGAGCCCAACACCGCCTCGATGAGATACTTCACTGAAAATGAACGATAGATAACTGAGATAATAAGCGCATCAATTTAAAGCCATTTTAGTTCAAATCAAACAAGAAACAAACACAACTTCTCAACAACTAACTACATTTTCTTGACTAGTTCGTCAGTTCGACAAGACAACTTATGTAAACTGTCAACACGGATAGTTTTCTTAAACTAAGATCCGGTTTTGGTAGATAGTTTCTGCMGAGTTTCAAGTTGCGCCGTTCAGCTGAGTAAACACCAGAGTCCCAAATCCACGATTTCTGTCAATATTATTGACAAATTAAAGAGTTTAATTCAAAAAGATCTAGTAATGGGRTTTTAGTTTTTGACGTCAAAGTATTGTATTAAATAGTTCTGGTAGAATTCTTCATTACTGGCGGCTGATTCGAGGCTAATCTTCTCTCCTTTTCAGACCACTTGGAAGAAAAAGAAGCGATTTGAAACAATACCCTAGCTTAATAGAAGAAATCCTTCTCTCTTTCTGTTGATACAAGATTAAAACCATTCTCTGCAGTTTATGCCATCAATTACCGATGTAAACATGTTRGTTTTGGGTATTTTCATTCATCAATTCAGTGAACAAAATCATCTGATTGATTGAGTGAAAGATTTGGTCGCAAATCCTCATGAGAGAAAAAAAACAGAAAAACTTAAGTGATTTTCGATCTTTATTCCTCGAAATGACAACATTACACAATTTCATTTTGATAAATTAATTTTAACGTGATATTAAATSTTGTCGACGGATTTCAGCTGATAAAATCTGATATTGAATTAAAATTTTTAATAATCGCTTTGGCAATCACTCCGGCCTTGTAATAAGATTGTATTAGCGAAGCTGACCAAATATGAGTGTCTTAATGAAACCAGAAAGCGAATCTACCAACGGGATCACAATATCTTAAATTTTCTAAATAAACAAAATGCGCCTGATTTTGTATCGTGAATTACAAAATCATCGAAAWTAACCTTTGAAAACTAYTACACCAACTGATTGAAACATTGTCAAATAATTACGGCGACAAATACATAATCAAGGACATATTCCTTTTTTGAATATAATTTTCTATGATTCAATACCCCTATATTTCTCTCTTTCTAAAAGTCGCTATTTCACTAGTGAAAAATAACACATTCGAGGTTTCTCTATATATTGGAAGTAAAAAAAGGTATTTTACGACATAATTTGCTTACATATATAATTATATGATAATAATTATATGATAAACAGAATATTACATGGTCGCTTGGAAATACGAAATTTATCTTCTCTTGTTGAAAATCTCTTCAGCACTCAAAGATACAATCCGTATCTCCGCGCGCCCATGTAATATCCTCTATTTAATATATTCGTTTTAAAAATGTATTACGAATTTTTTCGAAAAAAAATCATAAAATTTGGTGAGATTGCAATACGCAGCTATGATTTATGATTCAACTGTCGTTGAATTTTAGCGACATTAAAAAAGCGATAGATAAGACTCAAGCTAGTGCAAAATAAGGTTAATTAAAAAAACTTAAACAGAAAACACTGYATTCTTACGTCACACTGCAAGCACTTTGCCAAAAGAGGTTAAAGTTTTATAATGCGTTTTGTGTAAGAACGAACATTTCCGTACACGTTTAATTTACTGCTAGCGCGCAAGCCGAGATTTTTCTAGAGTGTTCCCACGTTATATCGATTTGCAGGACTGCGRCTCGAATCTATTAATCCCAATAAAACACGCACTCTTGTTCTATAAACAACACGTATTAATACTTTTAACTAACTAATTTTTAGCTAACTCCAAACAATGTTACTGTAAATTGCCGAAAAAGTAGAATCAGTGAAATGCAATCTATAGATTCAGATGAACTTCACTGAGCGTTAAAAAACTACATTGGCCAAATAACATTGAGATTTCTGATTGACTTTTTGTCCTGATATTGAGTATTGAKGTTCTCATGAATAGAAAAGTATTGTTTTGACCTGATAAATAKTTTATATTTTATATTCAGACAAATTTGCTCTCCTATTTTTCCTTCTCAACATGCAAACATTAAAGGGTGAGTTTTTTTAAGGTAAGAGCATTTAAATAATTCAAAACTGATGTTTTATTCACCATTGTCATACCATTTCTATATACATCTGGTGTTTAACTTATCTATACACCACTGATATTCTATTCTCCAGTGACATACCATGCAATATGACACTTTATGATGTTTTATTCACCAGTGTCAAACCATTTTCATAAATCTGATGTTTGATTCATCTGATCTATACACCACCAATGTTCAATTCCTCAGTGATAAACCATAAATAATACACTGATGCTTTATTCACCAGTGCTTTATGATACACTGATATTTCATTCACCATTGATATTTCTTACTAGTTTTGGATAGTTTTCATCTCGAACCTTCTTGATAAGTTCTTTAATGAAAGTCAATTGTTGTTGCCTGCTTTGCTCTAAACACCTAAATTGATAACTAACCTTTATCAATGAACCTAGTCTCCTCTAACAGTTGTTACGAGGTTCCCTCTAACAGTTGTTATGAGGTTCAAGGAGACTGTTATCAACCCATAGAAAATTGAAATGTTTCAAAATCTTAGCTTCAACACTTATGTCTTTAGTTTTATCATCAACTTCTTCTCCCATCAAAATTAAAAAAATTTCTTTTGCAGTGAATTGGTTTCTATTCTTGGGTTCCAACTACGTCATCACAAATTTTCTTGCTAATTGCATTAAAATATGACATTCATATCCTTTTAAAGCATAAAAAAATACTACATTGTTTGATGAATTTTAGAAATTGTAGAAATTTGCTTGCAGAATTATTCTCTTTGAATAGAATATATGGGAAATTTTATAAAAATCAATGCATATTAGACATATTTTGTTATATTTTGTGATGTCAGACGAAACAAAAGAATATTGAAAGGTGCTGTTTTATCTGCAATTTTCCTGTTGATTAACTGCACTTAGTTATCACATAATTATGTTTGCATCACCACATGATGCATATTAGATATATAATTATATTTTGTGACGTCAGACGAAACAAAAGAATATTGAAAGGTGCTAAATATCCTGTTTTATCAGCAATTTTCCTGTTGGTTAACTACACTCAGGTATCACATAATTATGTTTGCATCACCACACGATGCATATTAGATATATAATTATATTTTGTGACRTCAGATGAAACAAAAGAATATTCAAAGGTGCTAAATATCCTGTTTTAAATCTGCAATTTTCTTGTTGATTAACTGCAGATGTGCACTATTTCACATATCAACTACAATGACCTCCTAATATCTTACATAACAGTATCTGAGCAAATTGAGAAAACACCATCTCATTCTGGTGAAAAACATATATTATCAAGGCAAATTATTTTAAGTAATATAATATGCAATATGAGCAGGCAATCTGTGATTTAAAACAGTGAGCTGAAAGCAAATATTGTTTTTAACTTATGAAACGTTAAGGTAAACTTGCTCAGGTTTTAAAGAAATGCTTGAAAAAAATTCAATCTGACAGAGTTAATGTTTCTGCAAAYCAAAAATGATTTGTATTGTGTTTTGCCTTATAACTAAACTTAAAAACATATTCTAATTACAGTAGAAAATAAATAMCTGATTAAATGAATAYAATTCATGTATTTCYCTGGAAGAGAAATAATTTCCTTAATGGACGAAAGGCCCTGGGCCTAGCTATCTATTGTGTTTATGTTAATTAGGATAGTGTTGTGATTGAGAAATGTATTTCTCAATCATTGTGGTCCAAGACTCTAGTACATTACAAGCGTTTAAAATTCTCTAGTTTCTACTGTAGTATGCCTTATAATACTAGATCTAGTTCTCGAAAAAATTTAAATAAGATATTTGTGTTTGCTTTGCCAATAAAATGTGATTCGTTGGCTTGGACCGACCACCGCACTCTGTGTGCTGAATCRTTATTGGGACTTGAGGGAATGTTAGGAATGAAATGCCATTTATTCACCATTTAATAGCACAACAAATTCAATGAAAAGCATCA